CTGTATAATTTAAACTTAAAAAACTATACATATTGTATATCTACTATACATAATGTATACCACACTATACCATACTTATTTGATAAGTTATACTATACTGGTTTACTATACACTCGTGGATTTACCGTAAAAACAACAAAGAAAAAAACCAAAAAAAAAGACTAATTTGGAAATACAGGCCATAGAAAAGCGGGGTAGATAATTCAAAGATCTACAAAATGATTTCTATGATTTATAAGCATAGTGTAGTGAAGATCATTTATAAATTTGAATAATGTCAAAAAAAAAAAAAAAAAAATTTAAACGAATAGATACTAAACGTTTACAATCAAAATCATATGTAATAGAGCCTTTTTTTGCTTTTCATGGAGTTAAATATTTGCAATGATCTTCGCTTTGTTTGTAAATCATAGAATATCACATGCGTACATACATGCTATATATATATTAATTATATACTTTTTAAGCTTAGAACAAAGTTTTTAACCAATTAAATTAATGCAAATAATCATGTGATGATGCATGAAATTTTGAAGTTTAGAGCTAATTTTTTTTGCTGTGCCAAGAACCCTACTCATAATCTGATCCATTCGGGCGCTACTTATAATAGTCTATGGTGTTTATTAAAATTATCTAATTGTTATATATGTTATTGTATAAAGTAAACAAATGTCAGAAAAATTTTTTTGCATATATATAAAAAAATTTAAATTACCTAGTTATTATGCGTGTTATTGCATAAAGGTAAACAAAATTGCAAAAAAAAATTTTTTTGCTTACTTAAATTATCCGATTATTATGCATATTATTGTATAAAAGTAAATAAATGAGAAAATTTTCTTACATATATAAAAAAATATTTTCCTATGCTTTTTTGAATGTCATTTATACAGATATAGATTTGTTTATACTAAATTGATATATTCTACAACATATTATCGCGCATTCAATATTGGCATGCATTATAAAAAAAGCTTAGAGCTTTCCTGATATTAAATACATGTAACGTTTCTCAAATGAGTATCTAAATCGAAACCTATGATGTTGCTAAATACTAAATTTATAAGCTATAAATATATATATATGTATTGTATGTATTATACGTATATATAAACTCTAGATTTTGACGGTTCCAATTGCTTTGGATTTGGAACTTAGATTTGAATATTCTAATTTGCCTTATCCATAACATAAAACATTACATAATCTCAAAAATCCTACACAATTTATCTATAAATTCAACAAATTTCTCGAAACTATTTCTCAAAACTATCTCTAATTATTTTGTTTTAAAAAACTTTTTTCTAATAATGAACCAATCTACAAACCAAACTTTCAGTAGTCAACCGCAAAATAATAATAACCAATCTATAAATCAACCCATTGGTTCCCGATCTCAAAATAATAATGGCCAGTTACAAAGACCTCATAATATTGGTAGTTCACAAAACGCTGGTGGCCTATTTCAAGGAGCTCCTAATACTGGCATGCAACTTCTAAGACCTCAAAACAGTACAAATCTATTTGCCAATACTTTCATTGACGTCCAGCAATACAATGACCTAATTGGAGGAATAGATTTATTTCCTGGAACGCAAGGTGTAGAAAATCCACCACCACAGGATGATCAATTTTCAACGTTACTGATTTCTGGTCATTCTTTCCCTTAAATATGGACTATGCATAAAAAATATATTTTTTAAGCTGTTCTCACTCAACTAAATAAGTATTTTATTTTATAAGATTTCGCCAAGAGTATGCAATTAAATATTATAATTTTAAATCTCCAATTTTATATAAATGTAAGGAATTCCGACTAAATATAGTTGTAGCATAGATTTATGGAAAAATAATTATATTCTCATTAGATAAAATTTTATAAATTAGTGTTTATAGCTTATGATGTATTAACAGCACAAATTTTTTTGGTTACATCTATAAATTAATATATTAATTTTGCCTCTAAAATTTAATAAATTTTTTTTGCCTTTGTATGCAATATCGATCTATGTTACCAATTTTTTTTTCGCTATTTTGGCATGCTATAATCTTATAGTTAGGCTGTTTGAAGTTGCAATTTTGTCTAATGTTCACCTCATGAGGTCCTCCCGTAATTAAACAGGCAAATCAGAACATTCATTATGTCGTGAGATTCCAATAAGTCACGTATTTATAAGCTAGCCAATAATAATGTGATTCATTTTGCAATAACTTAATGTTTGTTTAAATTGACCCACTATCCACTGCGTTTAAGCCTCATAAAGGAACGTTAAACGAAATTATAACTTCAAACAGCCTTATTATTTCTATTCTGCATTTTTAATTTGCCAAATAGTATTTTATGTCACTGTGAATTTTAAAAAACATTAGATTTCGCTTTGAACGTGAGACTTTAAATTTGGTGTTTGTATTTGAATACTGAAGCTAACACATGTTTCCAAAACATAATGAGTTTTTACGTATCATTTCCAAATTTTCGAAGTACCCAATTATATTATTTTGCTGAATTCATCCTCGAGGATGAGCAAGAAAATCAATCCTAAACATTTAACTTATATATATGCACATCTCAACTTTCAATTAGACAACAATGTTGCATATGCTTTTCTTTTATTTGAACACCGATTACATGAAATAACATAGCTTTACAGAAAGTTCGACTTTTCCAAATATATTACTATAAAATAACTTAATAATTGCTATAAATCTTCAAATTTTAAGCATCTGTCAGTTTAAAACAGTCAGATTGGCCGATATTCATGTAACATATTATTTTGCACGAAATTACAATTATATCAGTTCACATGAACAGAGTGAAATCCTACGTTCTTATACCATTTCAACCACATTTTTTGCATAATTCATGCCACAGTAATTATATGTATAACTACTTTCAACAAGGCTTATCCTCATAATTACTGTAGCACGGATGTAAGAACATGCCTGAATTGAATACATTATAAAAATAGGTAAAAAAATTCACATGAGTATTGAACGGCAGCAGGTGATTGGCGTCGATTATGCTGATCACGTACTGTCGTTCGATATTCATGTGAATATATTTATTACCTATATATTACCGGTTATATTAAGCTTCAGTACCAAGAACGGAGTACAAAGTACGTAGTAGTGTATGGTTTAATGGCAAGTGAAAGGATATATCCGAATCTGTGTATTTGATTGGATTACTTCTTCATGTGATTTTATCGTCGCAATACCAGAAACGGAAGTGGTTGTATATCACGTACGTACGTACGTACGTATCTGAAAAGTTAACGTTAAATGTGTATAACAGTCACACGATCTGTCACGCAGATCGCGGGGTAAATTTTTTACTATGAAATTTGAGTGATCTACATGCATATGATGGGCTCAATTTTCATAGTAAATTGCAACGGTCACCTACTTTCAATTATTTAGTTTAAGGGTTTCCAAAAAGGAAACTGCACTTATGACCTGCATTTTGACAGTTCGGAAAGTTGATTTCTTTATTATTTGCAAGTTTAAAATACAATACAAAATAAACTCAAGAAGAATGTGGCCTCTAAAAGACGCTGGTTGTTTCATATTGTATAATATGGTAATGGCTTTAACAATCGCGGAATGTAAAAGTTTTTTTGGTTTTTTTGCCAGACTAACTTATTATTATAGTCGACTTATATAACGATCAAGAAAATAAAGATGGTTGTTTTTATTTTTCTCTATTCTCTTTTCTCCATTCCTATAACTAATAGCAAATTTTATATTTAGAGCTTGATATAAAAAGCTGATTATTCCTTTAGCAAATTTGCAAATATAAAGTATCTTGTTAAAGGAGGCTTTGTACTGTTTTTAAAGCAGTATATATTGATAGATATATTACAGGATTCAAATATTTTGGAAACAAATAGGATAGAAAGGGGCAAATAGATGTTTGTTTAAAAGTTTTGATAATTCTAAAGAATTTTTATATGTTAGAAAAGACATATTATAGTGTGATCAAAATGGATCATAAGTTATACTTTTGTCACAGGTGCAAATATTAAAATTTATGTACTTTGTAATTAAAAATAATTCTTATTGAAATAAATTTTTTTTAAATAAAATATAAAAATTTTTATTAAAAATATTTTAATTACATAATTATTAAAAGTTGAATAAAGTGAATTTTCTAGAAAATATAATCATTGCTAATACTATATTATTAAAATTTGTTTGTTCTTATTTCTATTTCAGTTATATTAGCAATCTCAGCATTCTTGGTCTTGTTCTACTACTTAAAATATAGTTTAATCATTGTATATTAATTTCGTGGTTGAAATGCTTATAAAAGACACCTTAAACTCTCAAGCTTCATTAATAATTACAACCTTTTTTATAAAAAAAAAAACAGTAAAAATTAAACATGGAATACTTATTTGAAGATTCATTCGATTTTAAAGATAACTTTAATCAAGAATCTGATATCGACACTGAACAAGTGGTTTCAGATGAAGAATCTCTTGTTTTTGATTTGCAATAATTGAAAATTTTGCAAGAAAAAATAACTGGATTGATTGAAAAATCTGAGAACAAATCAAGTGAAAGTAATAATGAATTCTCTGAAGATTATGATAAAACAGAAATGTTTTAGAAGAAATTGAAATACTGATACCTTCTAATTCTAGTGACTCCACCGAAGAAACATGTTGCCCTATTATTGACAATAATAATAAACCAAGTACAATTCAAAGAAATAGCAGAACAACTGATATCTATGTGAATCAATTATTTGGCACATAGGAAATTGATTCTTTGGCTATACAAGAAATTGGAAATAATACTTCAAAGTTAAAAATCTTTCAAATCATTTCAATTATGACTATAAGGTTATATATGGAGGTAGTATAAAGAAGGAATACCTATCTAGCAAAAACAATATAAGCTTATGTCATTGTCTCTCTTGCAATAAATACAAGTATTCTTCATAAGTGGTAAAGTGTGCCCAGTGCATAGATGGAAAGTATGTAAGCGCATAATTCAGGTCCCATGTTGTGGCACATTCAACTACTTAACAATTACTGAGTATAATAGTTTATCAAAAAAGTCACTTGATAATGATAAAACTCAATTAATTTGTGCAAACTGCTTTGTATTGCATAAAGGTCATCTACAGACTTGGCCAGAAAAAGTCTTGTATGTAGAACGAGAACAACACAAAGCTGATACTGAGTCTTCTTTAATGTTTTTACCAGGTGGATCGAACAAATTACCAAATCAGGAGATAAATCTACAAAGTCAATCTATTCAAAAAAATTATTAATGTTTTTAATACTATTACTACTGATGTATCTAAAACACAAATACTACTAGTGTATCTTTTACAATGCCCTCAATTCCAAGTCATTTTTTAATAAAAACAGTATTTGCTATTAGAAAAATTAAAATTAAAGAACAACAAGAACTATTAAAAACTACCACATGTAAAGCTCTTGGAAATATGCTTGCTAATTCTATATTGCAAGAATAGCCTGAACTTAAAAGAAGGCTATTATTGCTTAAAAAGCCTAAATTGTTAGAAGAATACTATAAAGCCATGTCAGCATCTCTTATCAACTTTTTTGTGAACTTAGTTTTTACTATAAAAGAAAAAAAATTAATAGAACTAACTAGAAAAAGAAAAGAGAAAAATATACCACCTCCATAGTTAGATACAAAAAACTCAATCTAATCTCCCTCTTTTTTGTATTTGTAATACTTACTATTGCTTTTCTTCATTAGAAAATATAGTTTACACATATTTTTTCTTCTCTTTGCTAATAACCAAAAATGTTAGGAGTTTAATACAAAATTCTTTATACAGTTCAGGTAGTACCATATGCTAGAGATTATAAAGTACATATTCAAAAAAAAAGAATATCAGCTATAGAACTTTAGTCAAGGCTGAATACAAGTTCAAATATTTTAAATATAGCAGCTATAGACAATATTGATACAAAAGATAAAACCTTTCAATATGGTTCTATCTACTACTCATGCAATGGTATAAATAGTCTTTCAATTTAAGTATTCAGAGTTTGACTTTCTAAATACAGAATTAATAGAAGATTACAATCTCTTTGGCATTAGTTTTTTTATAGAAAAATGGCAAACAAAAGTAAATATGAATTTTAATCAATTAATTCGCAAAGGGTCAGAGTTTGGTATTGAAAATATTTTTACAGCTATTAGAGAGAAAATCAACTTAGTGATTTTTGTAGCCTCTCCAAATGTTGTAATTCTTGAATCAGAAAAGGTACCAAGTAAAAATAAACATGTTCATGAGGCTGTCAATAAATTTTTAGATAATTTCAGTTATACAGAAAATAGCACATTAAACTTGTTTTGCCACAAAGCAATTTATCATTGCATAAAAGATTACAAGAGCGAAGAGCAAATAGTGTTTTAGCTCTTTAAAAACAATTTTATTTTCTTTAGCTAGTAGGTTTGTATTAATCACATTGTTGTTTAGATATTTCTTAAAATTTATTAAACCACTTTAAGATGCTTTCTTTGTTATTAATATTTACAAATAAGTCAGCTATAAGCTGTCCAATTATTATATTTTTCACAGTAATAATTTATAATTCTATATTTATAACTTGATGGAAGTATTTATTGGAGTGGAATAAATAAATCTGACAATTTGTTGAAGTCCTAAATATGTTTTTAT